GATTAGGTTGATTGAGTTGAAAAGGCTACCCTAAATGTTGGGTAGTCCTAGAGTACTCCTGCACTGGGGGTCCTAGAGTAAATAAAAAAAGAATGTGAGCAAGGCACCTGCATCAACTCTCTCTGCTTCCTGGCTGTGACTGCAATATGACCTGCCACCTGCTGCTCCTGCTGCCATCTATGCCATCTTTGGTACCTTGTGGATGGTACTTTCTAGCTGTAAAACGAAACAAACCTCCCCCACTTAAGTTGCATTAGCCTGATAGTTTTTCACAAAGAATAAAGTAATTAGTATAATGCCTCAATTTTAAAGTAGTTCAATGTTGCAAGTCGCTGATCACCGGTGGAGTCTTCAGTGAGTAGTCATCTTTTTGCTCATAGGTTTTGCCCAGATGATGAAGGCTGCTGACTGGTTGTGTTGATTGCTGAAAGTTGGGTGGATACAGCGATTTCTTCAAATAAGAAAGAAATCAGTAAAGTCTGCACAATATTATGTCTTCCCTGCACAAGTATTTCTCTGTAGCCTGTGAGGTTGTTTGATGGCATTTGTTTGTTTGTTGACACAAGTTTTCAAATAACCAAGGCCGAACTTGGACTGAGTAATAGCTAAGGACAACTTTGAATGCTTGGTTGTCCTGTCAATCTTTCAAGTGCTGGAATTATGGGAGCGTGCTACCACGCCCAGATATATATATATATTATAATATTTTCAAAATAAAAGCCAGTATTGTCAAACCCTATCTATCTCTGCTTTACCAACTGAGATTATGTAATATTCAAATCTGTTGTCATTTCAACACAGTTCTCAACATCTTCACCAGGAATAAACGTCTTGAAATAAAGCTCTGATTATTTTCTTTGCTCGTTCACAAGAAACAACTCATCCACTAAGGTTTCATCATGAGACTGCAGCAATCCAGTTGCATTTCAAGGCCCTTTACTTCTGCTGCTGTTCCTGCTGCCTCTGGAGTGACTTCCTCCCCTGAAACCCCGACTACCTCACACACACCTGTGACAATTTTCCTTGTGTTAATGGAATAAGATTCATTTTAATATTGATTACTTTTCCTTTCTTTGGCTTTTTATTTTAGACCTCACAACGTACTGATTTCCTCCTGTTGACCCTGAACAAGTCATCAAAATTGGTAAGAAGTACAGTTTGTGTCTGCTACACTACTAGTTGGTTTTGACTACAAAATATTAGAAAAAACAGTGTACATGGACATGCATACTCCCTTCATGAGTAAATTCAAGTGACATACCCATAGTATTTCTATTCCTTCATAAGAGGAATGTACACTCAGTATCAGACACATAGCCCTTTGTTTTCATATTTGTATACCACCAAGAATAGCAAAATATACCAACCTTTTACTCTTATTGTTGTATAAATTTTACACGAATAAATAAGCATGCAAACTTTCCATTGGTATTGCCCAGCGTCATCGGAGAAATTACTGTCTATGTATTCCATGTGAAATATGTCTCTTAAATAGTAAGATTTGAAGTCAAAATTATTCCTTGATACATGACTACAGAATAGCTGTTGTGTTAGCAGACAGAAAAGCCACATGAGTCTCTGTATACATCTCCATCTGCAGCTGGAGTTACAGGCAGCTGTTGGGCATCTGGTGTGGGTGCTGCAAATCAACTTAAGCGTACATTCTTGCTGCTAAACCATCTCTCTGGCCAGAAAGAAGCTAACCCCTAGTTAGCTTCATCTCCTCCTTCTGCCTTTGTAGAACTGAAGAGAGGTAGTGTCTTACTGGAGATGGACATTGGCTAGGGGAATATTGAACTGCTTTGGTCTACCAGGACCATTCAATCTTTATATCATCAATAAGACATTTCTCTTTTATAGCATTTGGGTGATCATTTCCATTATATCCATTACTTAGCTGTTTAAGAGGCCTAGCTTTCAGCCTCTCCTGGCTTTTCTACATGCTAGTTTAACAATGTCTAGGTTTTAATTTAAAGTAAGACATGTGTGTCTCATCCTTTCCCTAGAACACACACAGTATATGTATGGAAATGGAGGGCCATTAACTGGTGTAATTTCAGTGTTGTTGTGTCTCAGGGACTAGAGAGGCTGGAGTAGAGGAGAATATGGGGAAGAGCTGATATTTGGAACACTCTGAACACAATGTGTCTTGACTCCATTGACCAGTATGAATAAGGTTCATGTCATCCCCAAACCACTCTGATGTTGACCTCAAGGATCATCATAACAGATATAATAATGATGAAAGAGTTTGAAATACTGTCAGAATTACCAAAATGTGACCCAGAGTCAAAAAGAAAGCTGATGTGTTTTCTCTACACAGGATTGTCACAGACTTTCAACCTGAGGTGCTTGGGGTGAGGGATCTACAAAACACAATAAAGTGAGTGCAGCACACTAAACTGAGACATCCTTGTAAGTCCTCACCTATAAGAATCCAGAGAAGAAATCCTTCCCTGCTGATTCCATTATGTCACCCCACATCTGGATGCTCTCTCTGCTCCAAGTCAGCTTCTTCTGTGTCCTATGGTTTTCCTCCCCTCTACTCAGGCCACTAACCAGAGAAAGGCTACATTAAGTCCAAAGGGGGTATCAAGGCTAAAAGGAAGAATAAAACTTGGCTCTTGGTTTTCAGGTACTTAGCGATTATAAGTTATACAACTGCATGAATGGGTAACAGACAATTGCATGCATAACACATGGCAGGTGTCTTGCCTCTGATATGCTAAGCTCTGACAAGAAATGGACAACTCAAGAAAAGTTCTGGGGAAAGAGAGAAATGTGCTTTAAACTCTTTGGCTTCACCTTGTATCATGGATCTTTTGGGCAAGAATCCCTAGCTGTAGCGACCCACTTAGGGAGTGTTTCAGTTACAGCTTTTCACATCTTATATGATGTAGGCCACAAGAGCATATGGTATTTGTTTAATCTTGAACTAAAGATGGTAGACCAGGTTATATAAAAGTTATGAAGATGATTCAATTCCAGCTTCCTGTGAAAAGCACAAGACATTCTGACACACAATTATAAAAGCATTCTACTGGTCTAGCACAAAACCTCAGCTAAAATAAAAACAAAAACAAAATGCTTAACACAGTGCCAGAGACTAGATAGGAGACAGTAACATTTACTGAGCATTAGGCAGGGACATACTGCACTTTTGTCCATGAATAGTCCACCCTGAAAGATCACAGATATGGTTAAGAAGACTGCTTATCACCTTCCATTCATATATGCTAAGGGGTCTCTTAGCTTAAAAGGACCTCAGAACTGAGGATGCATCTGCTCCATTCAATGCTTTATGATGGAACAGACTTCTTTTTTTTATTTAAATTAGAAACATGAATGCTTCACATGTCAATCCCAGCTCCCTTTCCCACCCCTCCTCCCTTGTCCCTCCACCAGCCCCCCCAGCCCCTCACCCAATCCCCACATCACTCCCCAGGGAGGGTGAGACCCTCCTTGGGGGGGATCTCCAAAGTCTGTCATTTCATCCTGGGCAGGACCTAGGTCCTTCCCCATGTGTCCAGGGTGAGAGAGCATCCCTCTATTTGGAATGGGCTCCCAAAGATCATTCATAAACCATGATAAACACTGATCTACTACCCAAGGTCCCAGTGATTTCTGTGGCCTCCTCACTGAGACTACATTCATGGAGTCTGGATCAGGCCCCTATTGGCCTCTCAGGCATCAGTCTGGGATTCAAGAGCTCCCCCTTATCCAGTCAGCTGTCTTTATGGGTTTCACCATCATGGTCTTGACCCCTCTGCTCATCACTCCTCCATGTCTGTCACTAGGTTCCAGGAGTGCAGTTCAGTGTTTAGCTGTGGGTATCTGTCTCTGCTTCCATCAGTCACTGGATGAAGGTTCTAGGATGGCATATAAGGTAGTCATCGACCTTACCATCAAGGAGGGACAATTAATGTAGTCTCTCCACTATTGCTTAGTTTGCCAATTGGTGTTATTTTTTGTAGATCTCTGGAGATCTCACTAGTGTCAGCTCTCTCCTCAAGCCTATAATGACTCAATCTATTATGGTATCTCTCATCCTGCTCTCCTCTATTCTTACCTCGACTCAACCTTCCTGCTCCTGTTGTGTGAATGGGTGTCTTTTGGGTATATGCCTAAGAGTGGAATTTCTGGGTCTTGTGGTAGACTGAGTCCCATTTTCCTGGGGAATCTCCACACTAATTTCCATAGTGGCTGTACGAGTTGGCACTCCCACCAGCAGTGGAGGAGTGTTCCCCTTTCTCCACATCCTCTCCAGCATAAACTGTCATTGGTGTTTTTTTTTTATTTTAACCATTCTGTTTACAGAACACCAAATAGAGTGAACCATAAAAAAGTCCCCTAATCACATAATAATCAAAACACCAAACATACAGAATAAGGAAATAATATTAAGAGGGGCAAAGGAAAAAGGCCAAGTAACGTATTCAAACAAACCTATCAGTATTACACCTTACATTCTGACAGGAGTAAGATGGTATCTCAGAGTTGCTTTGATTTGCATGTCCCTAATGGCTAATGATGTTGAGCACTTTCTCAAATGTCTCTCTGCCATTTTATACTCCTCTATTGAGAATTCTCTATTTAGTTCAGTTCCCCATTTTTTAATTGGATCCTTTGGTGCTTTGGAGACTTGCTTTTGAGTTCTTTGTAAATTTTGGAGATCAGCCCTCTGTCAGATGTGGGATTAGTGAATATCTTTTCCCAGTCTGTGGGATGTCTTTTCGTCTTGCTGACTGTGTCCTTTGCCTTACAGAAGCTTCTCAGTTTCAGGAGGTCCCATTTATTAATTGTCGATCTCAGTGTTTGTGCTACTGGTGTTATGTTCAGGAAGCAGTCTCCTGTACCAATTCGTTCAAGGGTGCCGCCCACTTTCTCTTCTAACAGGTTCAGTGTGGCTGGATTTATGTTGAGGTCTTTGATCCATTTAGACTTAAGTTTTGTGCATGGTGATAGACATGGATCTATCTGCAGTCTTCTACATGCCAGCATCCAGTTATTTCTACATGCCAATATCCAGTTATGCCAGAACCATTTGTTGAAGATGCTATCATTTTCCCATTGTATAATTTTAGCTTTTTTGTCGAAAACCAGGTGGAACAGACTTCTTAAAATACCTGTCATCTATTTATCTAGGGGTGGGGTCACGTGCCACAGTGAACATGTGGCAGTCGGAGGACAACTTTATAAAGTCAGTTGTCTCCTTCTACCACTCGGACCCTGGGATTTTAATTTCGGTTCAGACTTGGTGGTGGATGCTTTTCCCAGCTGAGCCACCTCATCAGGATTATTTTTACCTGATTCACAAATGAAAGCCCCTTGTACTGAAGAGGTATAGACATGTGTGCTCTCCTCTATCTCTGGTTGTTAAGAAGACATTTCCTGGAAGAAGAGACTGTAGTTTACACAATGCACACAAACACATACACCAAATCACTGTCATTTTGCACAGGCCTCCTGTAAGAACATATCAAATAGCAGAACACCAGAAATACATTAAACAGATGTCTTGCTAAAGAAAAAAATCTGCACAGAAAGGAAACATTCATACTCAAGACTGTTGGTAAAGGTTCTTACTTGTTATGGAGTAATCTTTCTGTATGCTATGAAGATGTGTCACTCAGGCTGGTTTAATAAAAATCTGAATCATCCATTCCTAGGCTGGGTTCCAGGCACAGAGGACACTGAGAAGAGGAAGGGTAGCTACGCCAGGGACACAGAGCAAGCAGGATGGGCACTATGGAGAGGAGGTAATAAAGCCACAAGGCAGAAAGTAAGTGAATAGAAATGGGTTGATTTAAGTTATAAAAGCTAGTTAGAAACATGCAAAAGGTATTGGCTGAGCTTTCATAATGAATAATCAGTCTCTGTATCATTATTGGGGAGGCAATGATCCTGAAGAGAAATGTATCTACAAACAGCGTCCAGTGTGGAGTATGAGAAGGCTTTTTAAAAAGGTTCCAAACACACAAAAAACAGAGCCAAATGTGCCTTCCTAGTCCCACAGTCTCTCATACGGGCTGCAGTACAGAGATGTGTTTCCCAGCCTCTGTCTGCAGGCTTGAACAGCTAGTGTGCCATGAGCTAAGCTGTGAGGCAGTTTAAAATTTTGCTAATGCAGACAGAAAAGATTACAGATATGTAGTTAAGCAGGTTCAGACTGAAAAAAAACCCAGCAACCTCTAAACAGGTTACACTGTGTTTAACAATGTGCATAGCTTTAATGGGGGAAAAAAGAAGGATATAGATTCATAAAAAATAGTTTAAAAATAACAAAGTACAATCTTTAAAGAGGGAAGTAAAGCAATAAAAACAAGCCACATTAAGGAAGGGAAATATTATTACACCAGATTTTGTGTGTGTGTGTTTGTGTTACCTTTGAAAGCTTATGTATTTTCAGAACAAAAGTGCTAAACACCAATGAAAACAGGTAGCCCAGGTGATCCAGCCTCAGAATGCCTCTGTTGCAATTTCCTCAAAATTCTGCATCCAGAACAACTTGGAAGCAGCTAGATGACATGGTCTAGTCTCATAGACTATTCTAGCCAAGACTTGATCATTATTAATTTTCTCAGGGTCGCCCAGAGATGCCAGTGCCCTCAGACAACAGGAAGCAGTCTAGAGAACACAATGCCCACATTCCTAAGAGATGGAGTGGGTGCGTTTTGGTCTTTTGGTAGGTTATAGATGTTTGTCATTGTTTAGGGGGCGTGGTTACAAGTTGTTGGTGGTCATGGTAGGAAAAAAGCTAAACAAAGGAGATTACATTCAGGGATGTCTTTCTGAAAAGAATAAAAGGGGGATATAGAAATGATAGGATAAAAATCTGAATCATCCTATTGAATTTACTTTTAAACTAAAAGAAGCAACTACTAGTCTTAAATATTTCATGTTGTATGGATTTTTGTATATTTATCCAAATTTAAAGTTATTTTATTATATTGTATATATGTTTCTATTCTCGTGTAAGATATTTTTGTATATTGATACAAACTTAAGGTTATTTTTATCATACTGTATTATGTGTTTCTATTTCTTGCTTAAGGTATTGTACTTATGCAACTCACTTAAAAATATTAAGTTCTACTCCTTGAAAGCTATTTAGGATAATAAGGAAATACAGGTTAATACGTAGTCATCTATAACAATCAAACTTATAGTCATGTTAGGTATGCTTTCAAGGTCAATCAAAGACATATTTTAAATAGATGGTCTTCAAACACTTCAGAGACCTACAGAATATGGTATTTAAAACGTTTTAATAACATATGGCTTTTCATGACAGTGAGACACATCTGCTCTTGGCAGCACTAATTTATTTCATAAAAGGATGATGGGATTCAAAGAAATTCCATAGGGAGTTTACTTTCTTTGTGGCAAGAAACTGCCCTTACCTCGACTGCTGGAAGTATGTTGTCCAAATTGAACATGCAGGACACAAAAGAAACCAACTTCCAAACTTTGCCAAGACAAGGTAAGATAGTCCTTCAACATTCCTGCCTTACAGAAAAGTCTGTCAGATATTTTAGGCCTGTAGGCCGAAGATGGATGCTCCAATGTTGCAGAGGAATTCTGGGGTGACTGTCCAGGAAGCCAGGTGTCTCTGTCATTTCATAGTTTTGGAAATTGCTTGATCTACACTTTCTGTTTATTCAGGTAATACTATATTCAGGAATAAACAGAGACTCATGTCTCTGATGGAGTTGAGCACTGGATAGTTATAGTCACAGTTTTCCTTAATTATGACAAAAAAGTAAATTAGGTTCAAAACCATGGATTCATCAAGAGAGGATAGATAATAGAGTATTTTCTCTAAATTTGTCAAATACAAATGGACGGAACATTGTGAGTGTAATTCTCACTTGATAATTGTTCTTATTGTATATAGTTTTACTACGTTAGAGTTAAAATCTTTCATTTTCATTTAGTCAAAAAGGGGGAAATATGGAATAATTTTTTGTACATTGTGAAGACATGTCACTCAGATTGGTTTAATCAAAAGCGGCATGATCAATAGCTAGGCAGAATTTTCAGGGAAGAGAGAATGCTGGGAAGAAGGGGGAAACATCAGGCTTCCTCTCTGCCCTGCTTGCAAGCAGGATGGGCACTATGAAGATAATGTAATAAAGCCACGAGGAAGAAAGTAAATTAATAGATACAGGTTAACTTAAGTTGTAAGAACTAGTTAGAAACAAGCCTAAGATATCCGCAGAGCTTGTATAATTAATGCTTTGTCTCCATATCATTATTGGGAAGTCAAGGATCCTGAAGAAAAATCCAGCTACACTTACTCTCATGTGTAGGAAAGTGGGCATATTAAAAAAAAAACTTCTTTTCTGGGGTTGAAGAAGAGATAGCTCAGCAGTAAAGAGGACTGGCTGCTCTTCCAGAAGAACCAGGTTCAATTCCCAGCACCCACATGGCAACCTATAACTACCTGTAACTCTAGTTTCAGGGACTCTGACACCTTCACACAGACATATATGCCAGCAAAACATGAATGAACAGGAAGTAAAAATAATAATTGAATTATTTCAAAAGCACTTCTTTTCAGTTCTAGAGAGCTTTATTCAGTTCTAGAGAATGTTGTGCACAGCACAGAAATTAGAACTAATAACAATGTATCATACATGGCAGAGTGAATCTTAACTGTTCCCACCACAATTCTCTTTTAAATAATGTTTGGTGATGAAAATGCTAACAGCTTACTGAGTCAGTTCACACACATCAAAATGTCACTCTGCACTTTGTAAGTATACACAATTTTTATTTGTCAATTATATTTTCTCAAAGGTGGGGAAGGGTAGATCCCAAATAGAGATGTAATGCTTTAGTCTTATTATCAAGGGAAATAGTTTCAAAAACAGTAACAAATAACAATGTATTTCTCCCTACCTATCATCATTACACTTAAATCCCCACCAAGGTGAGTGTGAGAAGGGATTGAGCCTTGGTGTGAGGAGTTTTCAATACACTACTGCTCTCCTTTGCTCCATCTGTAGATGCTATTGGTGGAAATGTATCAGAAAAAGAAGAACCTGAGAAAATCACCTTAAGTGTCTGAACATGTAAGTTAGATACCTCAGTATGATTAGTTGGAGGACACATGGGAACTCTACATTACAGGCCAAGCATTCTGTTACTCTTTTCAAATGTAGAGACCAGCTGCTTCCTTATTTGGTATCCCATACCTGGATTTGGGTCACCAGGATTCCTGTTAGGACATGAGTCTGCTATCATCTGCTTTTCAGTGTTACCAAGGCATTTTTCATGACAACAAACCCTAGCCGGGAACAGTTTTGTCTGGTTGTACACGAACTTCTATGTTAAGAGAGAGTTACTGACCATTTGATCCATTTTATTTATATACTGAAAGAAATCTCAAGTCTTCTTAAATACCCTGTGGTATTTCTGAACTACATCCTATGATAAATTGTAGTTTACTTCAAACAACATAAAGTCTTAGTTCTCTGGTCTAAGTAGTAATCGGTGTGGTCTTAGCTCTCTGCTTTATTTCAGTAAACATTGGGTGACATGGATAAAGCCTGAGACAAAGGAACAAAATACTAGAGAACCACTCAGAAAGGCAAGAACCTCTCTCTTGCTTTGTGTGATTACTGCTAGACTCGGATGAGTTGATTACCAGCATCAGAATGAGAATAGTACAGCTGGTCATAAACAGAATCTGAATAGGATTATTGCAGAGTGAAGCCTTTTCTTTGCCAGTCGCCTGGGCTCTGCCACATTGTAGTCGCCAAATATCACACAGGACACTGTATTAATTCTGAAGCTGTTGGCCATTTGCTTGTTTCTTACTGGCTATCTCTGACTTAAGTATTTACTCCATAATTGTTAATCTATGTATTTCTCTTACCGGAGAATAGGTCTGGACTTCTTACCCCTATGGCGGTTACATCTTGACTCCCTGTGTTTCTCCTACCCAGAGTCCTCCTGGACTCCTAGTCCCACCTATCTTGCTTCCCTATTGGCCAACAGTGCTTTATTGACATATACACAGGACTTCCCCATCAGATTATAAAACAGAAAACGTGTTATCATTACCCAATTCACCATCTCAGAGTCACCAACCCCGTTCGCTCACGGCTTCTTAGAAAACGGTGCCGCTTTCTTTGGTTTCTTTCCAGATGCCTTGGCAAAGGGTGAAGAGAAAGAAGCATCTTCTGAATTACTGTATAATACTGTAATACTGATGAGATGGAAATTCATTTACTGAAAAGGAAAGCTGATTGGAAAACAGCAGTCTCCTACCTCAACCTTCCCTGTCTTTCCAGTGCCCAGCAGAAAGGCAGCCATGTGCGAACCATGCTGGTCAGCCAAGCTGTAGACAAGAGTGCTGCACCTTGGCGCTGTCCTTCTTCCCACTCAATGTGAAGCCCTTTCTGAACCTGTCACACAGATAAAACACTCATGCACATTGGATAAAAGCGAGTAAAATTTAAAACTAATTAAATAAAAAAAAAAAAACAAGGCACTAAAGTGACCAAGTGAAGGTCTGTGTACATGGCCAGGACTTGGCAACTGGAGACCAACTGAGAGTAACTGGAAAGTGAGCAGAAGTCACTACTGGGAGGCCTTTCTTCTGCCTTTCTCAGAACGGGAGGAGAGAGTATGCCTACCTGTCAGTACTTTGCAGGCTAGATTCAAAGCTTTCAAATATTTACCTAAATGCTCTGCATCCTCCTTGAGTACTCTTTTCCTAAACCTGGGAATGGTTTGAAGAAGGCGTGGCCTCCCGTTCCTTCCACATGCTCAGGCACTGGCGCCCTACTCTGCCAGGCCAGGTGTGTTTCCTCCATTCACTTCCTATTTGTGATAAATTATCTCAGCTGCTATTATTTTCCTTCCTGTTGGTGGGGGTGGGGTTACACTATTTTTTAATGGACACTGTAACTAATTAACACAAACTTGATGGCTTAAAACAAAACATGTTTATTACTGATAGTCCTAGAGAACTGAAGTTCAAGACCTATCTCGTTATGCAAAAACCAAGTGGTAGGTCTGCCCATCTTCTGGAAATACTACCAGACATTGTTACGTTTGTCTTTTCCATCCTTTGGCAGCTGTCTTAATTCCTTAGTTCATGGCTTTATTCTCCATCTTCAATGACAACAGAAGAGCAAATTCTGGCTTCTCCTTTCTGACTAATGCCCCCTCTTCTCATTTTTATCAGTGTAATTCACCAAGCCACACATCCCAGGATACTCTCCCCACCTCCGATTCCTTACTTAATCCTATCTACAAAAATCCTTTCTGCCAGACCATAGAAATATTTAGAAGTTTTGACAATTAGGACATGGTCTTTTGTGAGGAACATTCAGTGTCAGTGTCTGAGGCAGTCACAGTGACCTCGTCCTTGGACAGTGTTCTGCTGGTTCTGCAGTAAGCTGGTGTGGGAAGAGGGTGACTAGCTATCTCTCTCCTTTGGAGAAGGCAGAGCAAGTAGAGAAATAAGGCCCAGTAGACTGCACACATCCATTAACAGTCAGCACTGGGACCCTGTTCTCTGGGATCTGCATTTATATATTGCTGCTACTGTTGCTGCTGCTGCTTGTAGGGGGTCACGAGGATCTTGGTCTCCCAGCTGCCTGGAAGACTGCATAAGCAACTAAAGATATTCAAACTCCCCTGGGAGCTTTCCAACTTCTTTCTTTGGTACTCCATGGACACTCTGAGGTCTTTGAAGCCTTGTGTTTATATAGCAGTATCTTTGGGGAAAACATTGCTTTGCCTCATGCAAGGTCTCTTCTTCCCTCACTGTGGAAGGTCGGGGAAAAAGGACAGCAGCATATGCTCAGCCACTTTGTTTGACCAGAAGCCCAAACAGTCTACGTCCTGAGTCCAGCCACTGAGGTTCTTCTCACGTCCATTACTGATATAAGTATACCAAGAGCATAAGCGTCATAATAGAAATAATCCAATCTCAATAAGGCCCTTAAGCCATTCATGAGGTTGTGACTGATCTCAGAAATGTCTTTAGAAACCCCACTAGTGCTTGAGAAGGAAGCTGAGGGCAAAAGTGAGAGGAACCTGGGTAAAAGTGGAAAAAGAAATAAGGGGAGATAAAAGGTATTTTTTAAAGGTGTGCATATAAAGATGAAAAAGTGTGTGACTTAGTAATTTGGGTGCTAGCTGTGAAGCAGTGGACAAGGATGGGGAAAGATGGAAAGAGTGAAGCAATGCATTTTTTAAAAGCATCACTTAGACGGGAGAGAGAAGGCTCAAAGGTTAAGAGCACTTGCTGCTCTGGCAGAGGACCCTGGTTCCGTTCCCAGCATCCACGTGGTGACCCACAACCTTCTGTAATTTCAGTTCTAAGGAATCCCGTGTCCTCTTTTGACCTCCACAGGCACCAGGCATACATACAGAACATACACATACATGCAGGAAAAATAACCATATGCATAAATTATTATGTTGTTGTTTGTTTTTCAGACAGGGTTTCTCTGTGCAGCCTTGGCTGTCCTGGAACTAGCTCTGTAGACCAGGCTGGCCTTGAAATCATTCTCCCTGCCTCTGCCTCCCAAGTGCTAGGATTAAAGGAGTGTGCCACTGATGTCTGGTCATAAAAATTATTTTTAAAATCTTTTTTTAAAAAAAGAATTTACAGCTGCAAGTTCTAAACTCAGATCTTAATTCTCAAATTCATAGTCTGATCTTGTACAAGTCCATTAAGTATTTTCATTCGATAGCACAGGAAATTGAAATCCAAAGACACTGGCAATGAGGCCACAACATGAAAACCCAATAGCTAGAAGGCAGCCTAAAGAAAAACATCTTCACTATCTTTAAAAGGATGGACTAGTCGAGCTATAGAAAATGTGTAATGTGGGTATGACTGCAGATAGAAGTACCCCTTCGAATCGTTCAAAAGATTTTGTTGAACTCTTCCTACATGCTAACACCATGCTAGGCATGAGGGATATGATGAATAAGGCATGAATAAGATAGGATGTCTGACACACAGAGGTTAGAGTTACTAGACATTAAACAAACAATCAAAAGTAACTGTGGCAAGGGCTTTTATGGGAATAGAGTTCAGCACCTAAGCCAAAGTAAACTGCTTGTTGGCATGGGACCAGGGTCTGATTTTAGGTAGGGGCCTCACTGTCACCAACACCTCTCAGAACTCAACTAAAAAGCAGGAGTTCCTGGAGCCAAGATGGAGGAAGAACTTGGGAAGAGAGTTTCAAGCATCCTGCTTCTTTGCTCTGGAAAGGGAAAGGGTCTCTTGGAGATCTTTCACCCTAACTCTAGTGTCAAGCAGGGAAGTAGACAGGGCTCACTGAGAAGACAGTGTTCCAATTGGTATGGTCCCTCCAAGTCATGGGATTCCTTGACTTGCTTTTCAAAGCAAGCTCCCCTTGTCCCATCCCTGCTGCATTTAACAGGAAGGACCTGGAGCACAGAAATGAAGGGCATAGACCATGGACAAACTGCAACTCTCCCACTCTAGGGATCCAGACATCTCCTTTATGACTTCTGGTCCCTCATCTGTAAATTATCCCTAATATCAATATTTTCTTTCACTGAGTTGTTATGACAAATAAATGAGATAATGTATTTTAAAGTGTCTGGAGGAGTGGCTGGCACAAAGGAAGCATTCAGTAAATCTTTGTTACTATTATTGTTTTCAATTGCCAACCACTGGCCTTTTAAATTTTTTCAAGAAGGAATGGGCCATGTGGATTTACTTAAGGCATTGTTTTCAGTTGCAGAAACACTGGAGAACAGCAACAGCACATTAACACCCGGTACTATATTGCAAAGCAACCACAATCTTGCTGATCACTTCTGCAATTCTGAATCTTGAGACAGTGGAAAGTCCAAAAGGCATCGGGGAGGTCCTATCTTTCACATTTTATGGAATAGAAACAAAACTGCTGCTGACTACATCCAGCTGTGTTGAAACCAGGTCCTCAGGAAAGCAACACCTTGCTGGAGCCTGCAGGATTCCGGCTGCAGTACAGAAAATACAGATGCACCCAGTTATGGTCCATCTGAGGGAGACTTGCTGTGTGCTCCAAATGACCAGAAGGTTAAAGCTAGAAACTCAACTGCATTCATTCAACAAATATTTAAGTACCAGTCAGTCTTTTATATATGAAAGATAAAGTAGGGATTGTGGGGTAGGGTCTACCCTGAAGAATGCAAACAATAAAGAATAATCGAATTAAAATATAGAATACCAGAAAGGAATGGTACTACGAAAGAAAAGAAAGCAACTGCTGTGTAGCTATTGAAACATAGCCTCGCAGAACAGGAGGGAGGTTCATAAGACTCAAGAGGCTAAAGGAAACTCAGAAATTCTAAGATTCACAAGGCTGTTCCCCAAGGTTACGCAAGCAGTGAATAGGTATGGAGTGGTGCCTGAAGTTGCTCCAGGGAAGCAGTTTTCCTGGACTTTTGATTTTGATGCAATTGCCTTCAAGTCACTGATGCTTCCAAAAGTCATCAAGGTGGACTTGAGTGAGAAAATCTCTCTCTCCTCTCTCTCTCTCTCTCTCTCTCTCTCTCTCTCTCTCTCTCTCTCTCTCTCTCGTCTGCCTTCAGTGCTCTGATGGGATGGATAGATGTTTGTTCACATTTCCCAGGATAAGTCACATAACAGTGAGAAGAGAGAGAGAGAGAGAGAGAGAGAGAGAGAGAAGAGAGAGAGAGAGAGATCAGAAAGGCAGAGAGAGTTGACGTGGGGATAAGCAATGAGGCAAGAATTATCTTCCTAGAGGCTATAAGAGCAAGGGCCTCAGGTAGAGTACAATCTGGTCACAAAACCTGAAAATAAAGAGAGAATATTTTAGTGAATAGCTTACAGACTTAGCCAAGGTAATATATAATCACAAAACAAGATGATGCCCTTGACTAGGTGGATAGTTCATGATCATCTCCTTGGTTGGGTCAAGTGACAAGCATAATGCACGTGCGCGCGTGCGTGTGTGTGTGTGTGTGTGTGTGTGTGTGTGTGTGTGTGTGCACGTGCACATGCATGCACTCGTGGCCATTGATTGAGCCAGCAATCTGCTCAGAGAATTTACCAGTTAATAAAAAGTACCCCAGTCTTTGTCCATTCTGCCACAATTTTCAGAAAAGGCCACTGTATCACACCACTCAGTAATATCCCTCTTTTGGGATCCCTTCCACTCTCCTTCTAGATTTTCCTTAATAAACCTAATTTCACTTTCTTCACTCATTTGTCCATGATGTCTCACATCAATGTGAGACAACCAACTCAAGA